TTCAAAAGGTCACGGGCGACGTAGCCGGAAGTACAGAATCAAAATCTTCCGACATCGTTGTTTTACCTTTTAATTCCTTTTATTGTAAACGGCATTTGAGTTAGTTTGCACGTTCAACCTATGCGTTCAACTTGTAAACACTGACTCTGTACTTACGGCTACGTCGCCCGTGACCATTTGAACGTAATTGTGTATTACGTGACGTTACAAACGCGCCTCACAGAATAGAGCAAGGCTAGCATTTGTCCTTAGAAAAGTTACATTTTTGGAATAAGCTTTGAAATAACCGATCGTTTCGCATGATAAGACCCTTATTCATCGTCTGGTGTCGTTTAAAGACATTTGAAGCTGCATCTGAAACTGTTATTAACTGTCTTTTGGACCTCGGACCGTCTGGTTCCCATGTAAGTACATAATATGGAGAAAAATCCTGGAATGTTTTCACCAAAAACCTTAATTTCTTTTCGACTGAGGAAAGAAAAACATGGACATCTTGGATGACACGGGGGTGAGTAAATTATCAGCAAAAGTTTTTTCAAAAGTGTACTAATCCTTTAAGCTCTTCTAAACTAATCTTTTTGTAAAGGTTGCACTGGATTGATTGTGGTGCTGCTAACCCGCTTGATTTGTGCTTGAGGTGTGTTGCCTCAGAGTCTCAGTTCTGAATTTCAGACAAGTTCAATGATAGTTTCCCGTTCTTTTTCTGAAGGAACATGACCGGCAGTACATGCACATTGGAACAATGGTGGAGTTTGCGTTTGCTTTGGTGGGGAAACTGGATGTCATCAACAAACATTCCTTTAATGACTTTAAACTGCGAGTGGGTAAGCAGGACCTATCAGCGCTTTCACACCCAACAACATTTTGAGTCTCAAGATGTGGTAGAATTCATCACACGTTCAGGGCGTTTGAAATGTTTCCGGCCTCTCTCTTTCTCTCTCAAGGAATAAACCATGGTCCAGTGATTGCAGGAGTAATTGGAGCACAGAAACCACAGTACGATATCTGGGGGAACACTGTAAATGTAGCCAGTAGGATGGACAGCACAGGCGTGCTTGGAAAAATACAGGTAGATTCTTGTTCTGACCTACTTTGTGTGTCATTTGCATACCCGGTGAATTATTAATGTTTTTTCGGAGGATCACATCTAGCTTGCTTCATTCTTCAGGTCACTGAGGAGACGAGTCGTATCTTACAGACGTTGGGTTATATGTGCTCCTGTCGTGGGATCATCAACGTGAAGGGCAAGGGGGATCTCAAAACCTTCTTTGTTCACACTGAGATGACACGATCTTTATCACAAGGGAATGTAATGCCTTGAACCTCAGTCACACACCAGTCAGTCGTTGACTTGGTAATGATTAAAATCATGTACAGTGTAATATAACATTGGCCTATTTTAGTGGAGCTCTTCAGCATTCTGTTTGCACCACATACACTAGATTATTTGCATTGCTTTATAAGTAATGGATGGCTAAGAGGCTCTGTGTAACCGAGACCTGTAATTGTGTGTTGCTCAATACATTATTTAAAGCAGCGGACGTTTTTGTAAAATAAAGACATTATAAAGGTGGCCATGTTTTGATGCTATCATTTTGTTATCCATTAAAATTTATATATAACGTCAAAGTGTCTGTCTATGAATTTGTGATGGGTTTCACAATGTGTTAAAATCACAAAAAGAAACGACACAAATGAGTCAAAGAAAAATGGGTTATGACGTACCCATATATATATATATATATAAACTAAGAGATGATATGTTGCCATATATATATATATATATGGCAACATATCATCTCATAGTTTTTATTCTATTGATTTTTAAGCAAGACTTGTTTTTTGAGGATGTTTTTTTTAATACGTATACTGTATAAATGTTAGTAACACTCATTTAGTGCATGTAGCAGACATACAATAAATGCACAGGCATTTATATTAACATTTACTGTAATGTGCGCTCAAAGATGTGACCATAAGTAAGAGACACGATTAGACGGGTGTCACAGATCCATAGCCTTCCTCCACAGTCCAGGTGATCCCATTCTTGCTGTAGAAATCAGAACGAATGTGAGCAACACGAGCAAAGCTCCGCCCGAGTCTGACTGTAGTGGAGAATATTGGCCATACTCTGATGACGACAGAACTGGTACAGGTCTAGATGATTCCTGAAATGGTAGGATGAGATCGAACGGAAAGGGATTAACTCTAGAATGGGTTCCTCTAGTGAGCATTGTTTTAAAAAAAGAACAACAGACAACGCATAAGCCTTCATGGATGGATCACTGGGAGTAAAGGAGAACACACCTCACTGAAGATGTCTAGGCCTCGGGATTTGGCGTGCACTCTGTCATCTCGGTGGAGTTTGTTATCATAGCCTTCAGTGCTCTGATGTAAACAGTCATATAGAGACCTCTCCGGGGCCTAAGAGGAAATTGACTAAATCAGTTTAAGAAAATGTTATTTTGAAAATAAATGTACAGAACCGACTCGGTACAATGATATCAGAAAGTAATACCATGGCACATTGATGTACCCACAAGCTATTTGAGATTAACTTAAAGAGATAGTTCACTTTGAAATTATTTTTTGATATGTTTTAGCTTACCTCAAGGGCATTAAAGATGTAGGTGTCTTTGTTTCCACAGCATTTTCAATTTTGACATTTTTTGGTCAAACCGGTGGTCTGTCAGTCCTATAATGCAGTTTTAGGGGGTCCACCTCAAAGAGCATGCACAGAGAAGTCAAAATTAAACATGATTCAATGACTCGTGAATGTAAGTACACACTGATGGCCTAAGACAAGAAACGAGCGGTTTATGTGAGAAAACGAACAGTATTTTAGTTTTTACCTCTTGGTTTTTACCTCTTGTTAACAGCCATCGAACAGCCGTTGATTTATAGTTTTTACCTCTTGTTAACAGCCGTCGAACTGATCTGAATCAGATGTCCAGATCATCTGAACCGAACTGAACCGTCTCCAGACGTTACGCCGGAAGTGATCTCTCGCACATCTATGTCACGCATTGTTTACAAGGAGATTTTGTAAGTTTTACCTTTCACTAAACATATTAGATAAATCGAAATCATATTCAATTGCGATTGTTTAATTTTGACTTCTCTGAGGTGGACCCCCTAAAACTGCATTATAGCAGTGACAGACAACAACGGTTTGACCAAAACATGTCAAAATTGAAAATGCTGCGGAAATAAAGACACCTACATCTTGGATGCCCTTGAGGTAAACTAAAGCATTAATCAAATTAATCAAAAATTAATTTCAAAGTAAACTATCCTTTTAATGTATGAATGTCATTGCAAATTTGGATTTGAAAAACCCCAAATTTTAGGATGGTGTCTAAAAACCTAAAGCCATTTAAAGAAATATCTAGATAAAAATACGTTATTAGTTAAAGTTTAGGACCACCATATATATATATATATATATATATATATATATATATATATATATATATATATATATATATATATATAATATGTGTGTAGGCCATATGTCTTTTTACCAGATAAATGCTACCAAAATATATATCGTTCCAGGCTCCAGCATCATTTATTTGTAAATGGATATTTTAGCAGCGACATTGGGGTTGTTGCTTTAAAAAAAGAGAGAATGCCAAAATGAGCACTAGATCTTACCCTGGGGCTGCAGTTGAAATAACGCATTTCTTTGGGCTCTGTCCTTCTGGCTGGTATAAAGCTGAATACAGACAGAGAGGAAAGTGGTTTAGACTTCGCTTCGGATAAAACGTCCATTACAACAGTCGCACTTTTATCACTGGAGAGCTGAGGTAACATTTCTACACACGGTGACCACTCGGCGTCTGCGGTTGCTTGGAAACCTCAGGAAAACATCAGGTGTTGGAAGAGATAAAGAAATGGTTATAATCACTGATCTATATAGAATGTGATCAGTGATTATAACATGAAAAAAGACAAAGAAAGCAATTTGGAAGGACAAGGAAACAGAACTAGCCATTTTTCAAAACATTTTAAAATGTGCCTCATCATTAAAAAAATAAATTACTATTTTATTGTTTACTGTATAATATAAAACATAAATTAAACCGTTTTGAATGTGTCAATTCATTTTTAAATTTAAAGTGATTTATTAATTTATTTACATATTTAAAACAGTATATGCAACAAAATGTGAACATAATATTTGATAAGAATGGAATTAGATTTAAAGTAAAATTCCTGATTAAAATGAACATTGTGTTGTATAACCACTCCATCTACTGGACAAACGTAGATTAGAAATGCAGAAAATTCAACGTACCAAAATAAAAGTCCCTCATAAAAAGTCTCTCCTCTCTCTTAAAACGAATGATTTTATTAATGTATTCATTCTAATTATATAATATTGTTTAAAATAAAATGATAAAAACTAATAATAATAGCTCATCCCATCAAAACGGGGAAAGTTTTCATTATTGTAGTCCTATCAGGAAATAATATGCATGAACTGTAGAGATCGCTCTTCGACTACAATCCATGGTACAATCGTGGCATTTTTAAACACCTGTGTAATGATCAGAATTTCTCAGTAATTAATATAAAAACATATGATAGTATAGTAATACAATTTACAAAAACAAAAATGTGCTTTTTATTGTTCAGGGAAGGCGTTATTTACTGTAAACCAGCTCTACTAGCAGCACATACCTTTGTAAAAAATACCATGGTAACCCTGGTTTACGCCCAATAATAATTAGTTAATAACTTGAAAAAGGGGATATTTTATATTCTTTAAACAGTACTAGAAGCTTACAGAACCCACACGTGTTAAATCTCTATGACATTTGGTGGCTTAACCACAGCGCGTTGTTGTAGTGTAGCAACTGTGGTATTTTAACGTCAACTAGTTACCATGTTGAACCTATAAGTGATGCAAACACGCTTGTGTAATTATGCTACTCAACTTTTCAAGTATGTAGGGAGGGCAAGTCCAGACCAGACTGAACTATGGGTGTGATAAAAAAGAAAATGGGCGTTGCTTATGTCATTCACGAGTAAAATGATAAGAAGGACAAGCAAGAGACAAGATTTTGACGGCTAACGTCATACAGAAAGCTGTCTTGCTTCGGATCTAAGTGTGTGTGTTTCTGTCTATAGGGACTCCAGCTGAAAGACGAACCGACGCCGAATCTTTTGGATATAAAAAGACCTATACATGGACTTGTCATGAAAAGACCAGAAACTGATTTATCGTAAGGTATGTTTATAACCGTCAAGTGCTCAGAGATGTCACGTTTCGTTTGTTTACACCCATGGTTGACACGCATCGCTAAGACGCGACGCGTAAACTGAAGTTCTACTAAAACAAACGATTTCGCGCACTTGCAGTGTAAATACTAGTTGATTGTAATGAGAGCTTTTTGATTTGTCGTGTAGCGTCTTTCATGTAAGTTAACGCTAGTCGTGAGGCGTCTAGGCTAACTTGTCGTGAGTTGACCCGTTTGTTATAAATGTAAAGCAGAACTTTGGTTTTATATATATGTAGTTAATATATCTTAATATAACCATATGGTTATATTACCAGACTAAGTAGTTTTTAACAACAAACACTAATACTCTAATGCAAAACTTTGAGAATTTTTTTTAGAGATTTTGCCCTATATTCAAATATAGAGTAGACAGACATGATAAGCTGAATAGATTCATACATTTTTCATGAATTATTTTTGTCCATTCTGTTGTTCTGTCTTTAGGCCTCTGGCATTCTCTCCATCTTCCTTTCATTCTTTCTTTTAAAACCCAGCATAATGATGCGTAAGTACAGTTCAGTGGGTGCATTGTTGGAGCTGGACTACTTGCCCTGGGGACAGGTGGATAGAGATAGGACCCTGGGCACTTCGGATGATGATGATGATGATACGGTTGGGGCCTCAGCATCCTATCCTTGCACCCCAGATGCAATGTCGGGAGGTGATGGAAAGGGGGGGCTTAACAGAGATCACAGCATTAGTGTGGAAAACCTGGTCGGCTTGGAGAAAGAATCTGGTTTACTGGGGGTTACGAACCTGAATGATAGCTTTAAAGCTTACAGTGACAGCCAGCTAGCTCCTAATGCCAAAGGCAGCTTTGGGAGTATGGGAAAGTGTGATACCATACACTCTTCGTCATCCTCACTGAAGTCTAACCATATGTCCAACTCCCCAAAACCTCATTATCACCGACAGCAAGCTCGGGCCAAACTGGCTGCTGCTAAAATACACCTTAAAAGTTTGTTTGGACAGGTAAGTTTGGAGACTTTTAATGAAGTTTTTTTGCATAAAAATCTTTAATGTGTTTACTTTCAGCTGACATATTGACAAATTAATTTTATCATGTCTTTAGTCTAAAGATTTTTGCTCCAGTCAACATGTTTACTGGCATTGTTGTTACTGGCATAATTGTTCACCCTTTCTAACTCATGCCAAGACCTTCGTAATGTCATATACATAAATTGAAAAGGGGGTACTTAAACATCACAGAATCTTTATTGTTGAGCCATTTTTATGTTTTCTACATTACATACATGTATTTCACATAGATTATCAGCATCAGGGCTTCAGCTCTAGCATACAATACTGTTTATTCAGAATTTACAAGCCAAGTGTGATGAAGTGAAAAGTCTGGAGTGCTTTTGTATTACACAATTAGTTAAGTTCAGTTTGAATCAGTGCTACCCCTTGAGATATAATGTTGCTTTGTCCAAACAGTGAAAGAAGAAGCAAACTCCAGAAAGGGGAACTGAATGTTCTAGTGCTCTATAAGGCAATCACACTATTGATGCATAATGTTTGGTTGTTTTTTTTTTATCTACAATATTGTTGCAAGTACTCACAAAACTTTCATTCTCTAGAATATTTTGTCATCTGATAAATCTGACATTGTCAGAATGTTTTCCGTGACGTAACGCCTTCATGACATTTAAGTCATGGAACATTTGTGTAAATTACACTTCCTTAAAGTCTCAAATCAAGTCAGTTATCTTCATGGCAGTGTTATGCATTGCATATCAGTGACCTCTTATTTTTTCACACAAGGGTTCACCGAACTCCTCGCATTCAAATTTGACAAGTGCAGAGCAGAGAGACAACATAACCAGGTAAAATCAGTCATCTCAGCAAACGATCAAGACATATTTCCATATTTTGCTTTTGGCCTCTTCTCAGTCACTTGCAAAACGAAACAACCCCTCCTTTCATTTTTTATTGTTACTGATTCCACACTTTTTTGTTGTTGTTGCTGGATATCTTTGTCGCATATCCTCTAACACTCTTGTTTCTCTCAGTGCTAAAGAGAGGCGGTCCCGAAAGCCTTTCCTCAGGCAGTGGAGTCAGGTGGGCCACGCCAAAGCTCAACTCAGCAGGAAGGAGATGGAAAATTGGGCCAACTCCCTTGATGCTTTGCTGGACAGTAGAGGTGAGCGCTCAGTCATTTGTTTTTAAACTGCTTGACTCGCCAGGCAGCTGGTCAAAGGACGCTTGCGAGACGACATAGCAAGCTGTTGTTCGACTAACTTTGACCTGGAATGCTTTTCTTAGAAATTGAGATATTTGTGGCCAACTGCCCGCCCATGCTTGAATGCTTGTTTTAATGAAAATAAGTGCAGAGCGGACCATATACTGTCTGATATCGTGTAGTTTTTTTTTAATATACAATACTTTTTAAAGAAATGACAACTTCAATTCAGCAAGGATGCATTAAATTGATCAAAAGTGGCATTTACAGTGTTACAAAAGATTTCTGTTTCAAATAAATGCTCTTCTTTTGAACCTTCCATTCATCAAAGAATTCTGAAAAAACAAAATCATGGTTTCCACAAAAATATTAAGCAGCACAACTGTTTTCAACATTGATAATAATAAGAAATGTTTATTGAACGGCAAATTAGCATATGGTATAATTACAATAAAGCCACTTTGCCATCACATGTTCGAGGCCGTTCACAGTCACACAGAATGTGTTTTTCCATTCCACTGCACTATTTTTACAGTATTTTCTATGTAAAACGGACGTGTTTGACCGCTCGCATCTCGCAAATGACACGGCTTTATTAAAATGTGGCGCTCAAGTTAAGTTCAGCTTTTTATAAATGCATCTCGAGACCTTGCGCTTTTTTTTTGTTTCATTGACCTGCGTCTTGCATTTTTAACTGCAAACACGTGTTCTGTGTGAGACGGCCCTGAAATACTTCAAGCGAAATCTAATAATGAACTGATGTGATGTCATTTCGAACAAAATCTGGCCAAACTAAACTTTGGGAAGTTTGAAACAGCCTGCCATAGCGAGCTTTCTGGAAAAGTTTGCTACGGCCGTTAAACACCTTTGTACTCCCATTGGTCCATGGCGATGATGTAATGATGGAGACTCTGCCTTCTTTCATGCTTTTCCAGTTAATTTCTTCTCATAAGTCCGTAGAGGTCAGATGTCCGTGAGTAACACGCTGGAGAGCCGCTTTATAGTAGAAAATTAAGTTGTACTTCTGATAAAACGAGACACTGTTTTTCACGTTTAATACGGTAAAGCTGCTTGAATTTAAGCAATCTGTTAAAATGCTAAATAAATAAACGTGACTCTACTAGAGTGCCGAATTGCAGAACTCGTGCAAACACGTTGCTACGATGATCAGATGCTTTTCTTAGGCTTTATTAAAAATTTTCTCAATATTTTTGTGTTCATTTTGTTATTGAGAGGAAAGTGCGCAGCACATATTTACATATTCATCTAAATGTCGCTCTCAGCAGTGTGGCCGGCATCGGATGTTCGCTAGCAGTAGTAAATTACTGGTAACCTATAAGCACTTTTCTGTGCCTTCCCCTTATACTGTTTTTTGGTTTAAAAAAATGTAACTTTTTAGTGGTTATGTAGGTTAGCCTGGTATGTGCTCAGACGGTTTCACTACAGAACCACAGAATTGTAATATTACATCATTGAAACACCCTTAAAACTGCTTCCTCTTAACATTGAGGAACCACTTTCCTGTGAAGCTTCAGGCACGGGTTTCTGTAGAATTCCCTAACGACATAAAATGATATGAAGAAACGAGATAACGGTATAATAGACTTTTTCCCTAGAGGTTGAGAGGCCTGGCGGACAATTTCACTGATTAAAGCACCAAGATTTTTACATTTTCAGAAGGAGATGTGAGTGGTGCTTGTCTATATAGGGCATGATGGCAGGATTTTTTATGGTTGTAAAAAATTTTAGACCAGCCATGAGGACTCTTGAAGTCCCTTGAGTGAAAGTGGAGGTAAACATTGTTAGTCAGATCTCTTGGGAAAGTAGTACCACTCCTCTTCTTAGAAGGAAAACACTGGTATAAGTGTCTTTTAAAAACGAGTCATTTGTAACTTTGCGTTGTGTATTTGTATTGTATTTTTTTGTATGGATGGACCATGAGTCTGAATAAAAGGATACTACTACTACTTAGTAGATTAGTTCAGTTTAGTTCTTACTGTAAATGGTTTGGGGCAATAATAATATTTGCCATCGAAAGCACCACTAGCTGACCTCAAAAGTGAGAATGACATGAAAATGTAAGCTTACATTATTAGTGCAGATTGTGATGTATAAACAGTGGTATACCAACTAATAATGGACACGGTTGCCTTGACACCAAATGTCATGTTTCCAGTAATTTGTTTTATTATTATAATTAAAAGGACTTAATGATTAACAGCATCTTTGTTGGTAGTATCCGCTTTATCCACTCACCCATAACTGGAAGCAGTTGATTAGTGTGACACCTCATAAAATCTAATGATGCGCTGATACACACGTAGGACATTTTGAAGAATGTTTGGACAAAGGATAACATGGAATTTGAAATTCAATCCATTCTGTCACTGCTATAGCTAATTTGGAAACTAATTCTCTCAACACATACTCCTTTAGTTTAAATCCCATATTCTTCATGAGGGAACTCTTAGATATGTAACTGCTATTAACATTTTAAATTATACATAATAATTTTGACAATCTGTTAAATTTATGTTCAATGTATTGTGTAAGATTATCATACATTTATTTTAATTACCAAAAATTAGTATATTTTAATCTGTTAAAATTAGGGATGCACGATATATCGGCCAACATAACGGTATCGGCCGATATATGTTCATTTTTAATGTTATCGGCCTGGTAAGAAAATGTGGCCGATATATTAAAGCCGATAAATAATGTATTATTCCCTTCAGCTGAGACACTTGTTGACAACTATTGTTTTTGAATTTCTTGAAATATGATTGAAATCTCGTCAAAAAATGAAAATCTGGTTCGGGACAACATGTGCAACGCAAATCTGTCATATCGGCTGAGAACATCATTATAATTGTGCGTTTGGGATATGGATTTAATTGTGAGACTTTTGTTTTTGTAATCAGGCTCTCAAAATTAGATAAAAAAAAATGGATTTAAGTTTATCGGCCGATATATTGGTTATCGGCTTTCAAATATAAAGAATTATCGGTATCGGACAAAATTTTCATATGAGTGCATCCCTAGTTAAAATAAATCGTCCAGTGTATTTTCCACATTACAAAAAAGCAACAAATTGTGACACCAAATAAGCAACATCCTTTTGACTCTTTCTACAACACGGTGGAAATAGAAGTAAACAAAAATTGCATTCCATTTTTGCAATCATAACACAATTATAGTATGATAGTGCAATTAATTGAATTTTTATAAAGCTTTTTTGCATTTTATGTTCAATATTTGTGGCATGCCAGCACATAGGGTCATGCTAGTGTAGACTATACAGCATTTGAATTGTGTGTGGTGGGTTTGTTTTGGTGCCTGGACTGGTGGGAACACCAGTATGTTGTAACGACAGAGCCCTGTCCCTGTCCTACGTCTATTTTCTCACTTCAGAGTGTCGCAACCCACGGGTTCACTGGTTTTGAGAAAATCAGAGGGCAGGAAGGTATGTGGTGTGAGATAAACCCTCAAGATTTTAACATCCAAAGCTATTCCTTCTCTGATTTCTGATGCAAGTGCTACTGTATGTGACGTGTGTGGGCGTATGGCAGAACATGCATGTGAACGTGTCATCTGAGCCTCTACCCCTCCCATTTGTAAACAGAAATAGCTGTTTTTTCCAATGTTGGTAAAGGTTCTTTCTCCTCTCTTCTCACGTATCCTTTAGTGGGAGTCACAGTCTTTGAAGCGTTCCTGCGATCCGAGTTCAGTGATGAAAACCTGCAGTTCTACTTGGCCTGTGAGCAGTACAGGCAGTCGTCCAACAAATTCAGCCTGCATAGGAGGGCAAAAATGATTTCTGAGACTTACATCCAGCCAGGTGCTCCCAGAGAGGTAGATTTATCTAAATTTAGCTGTCTGATTACTGTGTAAACAAATTTCACCCAAGCTGCTCTTTCTCATACAATGTAAATAAATGGGGACTTGGGCTTCTGAACTACAAAATTGCAACAAAAAAAAAGCCACTATAAAAGTACCATAGAAATAGTCAACAACATGACACGTATATATATTATATTCCAAGTCTTCTAAAGTCATTCTGAAAATCGTGATTAAGAATTTTTGTTTCAATTTTGGAGCTTGACAGTCCAAACCAATGTAAATTTCTGCCCTTTCCTCTCACAAATCTGTTATCCACAAGTTTCCGAGGGGCGCTCCTGTAAAAAATAAAGTGGGTGAAACTTCCGGTGACGCGGCGGAAGTAGCATTCCAATGGTATTTTGTGTGTTAGTTAGCGAAGAGGCTAGCTGTTTTTCGGAGAATTATTTTACTATTTAAAGACGCAAATCTTTATGAGAGATGTCGTTACGGAGCTCAGGGACAACATGTGCTGTTCGCGGTTGTATGTATAATCGGACTAAACTAGTTTTGTGGCTTAAACGGGATTGTTTTGAACATAAGCTGAAAACGAGCCAGTCTCTGATCCTGCCAACGACTGTAGTTTCCATCACCTCCAAAAAGACGACGAATCTTCCTGTGTACATTTGTTTAAATTCTTAATGTTCTATAAACTCTATCAGCCTGTGTTTGGCTGTTCTCTACTAACTCAGGATCAAAGCCTGTGTTGACAGAATACCAAATGTGCCAGTTAATGTATTCAAGCAGCACATTCATTTATAATTTTGAATAAACTCCAAAGCACAATGACTAAGTGTGTATTTTTTATTTTAATTGTTTGTCAGCTCGCACAACTGTCTGTCACCATGCCTTGATGAGTATTGATTATTAATAATGTTATTATAATACTCCCAATCAACGACTGCGGAGGGTAAAGGTACTGTTATTTCACCCTTTTTCATTTCGTTGAGGTTGTGTTCCCACATCGTTAGCTAGTTTGGATCGCTATAACTTGAATCACTGTCAACTGTTGAATGAACGAGTGTCAAGCATGTCAAATCGCGCTTTGTTTACTTCCAACCGGAAGTCGCGCCCACTTTTGACGCAAGGCCTCATGGGGCGTAGGAAACTTGTGGATAAGACATTTAGTATAATTTTACTTATTAATAATGTTTTTGTCATTTTTGGAGCTTGACAGTCCTAGTGCCTATTATAGAAGCATAGAACACGTTGGACTTCCTTAAAGCTACACTGTGTGATTTTTTACCCCCATCTAGTGGTGAAAAGGTATATGACCATCCAGTGAAAATTAGTTTCTGTTCCTCTCAATTCCGATTTCGTTTTAACTCCTACGGTGGCCAATGTAGTCCAAGATTAACATGGCTTCCAGTTCGACCTCGTCCATGAGTGTTAACTCAAACGTAAACGAGAAAGGCAAAGCTTGAATTAACGGGTATGTCCCTCTTTGGCTAATGTACTTTCAAGATGGAGGGGCAACATGGCGACTGCTTACCCGTATGGTATTTTCAATGGCATATTATACACTCACAAGAATACTTTATTACTTGAACGAAGTAAATATACATTAATGAGCACATATATTTTTGAAAGACCTAAGTGTTTTTAGCTAAGAATAAACTAAAAGAGTTACACAGTGTAGCTTTAAGAATGTAATTTTTGATTGAACTACTCTTTCTTTATTAGCTACGTATTTCTTTCCACCACTTTTAGGTGAATCTGGACAGTAAGACGAGAGAACTGACCATAGAGCTCCTCAAAGCCCCCTCTCACAATTCCCTCTCACATGCCCAAAAGCGTGTGAAATCCCTCCTGGATATGGACTGTTACCCTCGTTTCCTCCAGTCGGAGATCTACTTCCAACTACTGAAGGATTCGTACTAGAACAAGATTGGACGGAGTGTCCAATAAGAGCGAGGTTGTCCTAAAACTGTACAGACATCATGCCTGGACTGTATGACAGGAGACAGCAAACACTTTTGATGAAAACAATAATCGTAACTACTGAGGACCGTTTCAGTTAGATAAAAAGGGATGATGCGATTGTCTTGAACTTGAATGCGTCTAAAAGGTATTGCTATGGGGATTGAGGTGCTAACATTTTACAAGTTTGATTTGGGCTTTTCTCAGTAGCTAGACTGAAAACATTACAGGCAGATAAAGACGACTAAATGGCGTGTTGACAGGCAACAAAGGGAAAACACGTCTGGCAAGAATGGGCTGTTCAGTGAAAGGCCCAAGCACTCATTGGGTGACATCAGGGTCAAACCATTTTCTGACTCAAGACTTATTTCTAAAGTTAAATGAATATGTAAACAAAACATCGAGATCCCACTGACAAAATTAAAAAAGGGAGTTATCTAAATAAGCAATATGAACACATTTACTTCTTTGTACACAAAAAAACTTCTTTTTAGTCTTTACAGATGGCCAGTTCTTTATTGGTAAAATATTTTAAACCTTGTGCATTAGCATAGTGGTGTAGTGGTTACAGATTTCACATTTCAGCTGTACACATTCATTCATTTGAAGAAAATGTGACAAAGAAATGGAAATCAAAAGTCTGCCACTAAGTTTGGCCCAATGATTTGAGTTTTTTTTTTTCTTAAATCAAGTAGTGTGAACTTTGTTTGTTTTGTTGTTAACTGTAGAATTTGTGAATGTGAATTGAATGTCACACATACTGAAGTTGTGAAATGTGGCCTGTTGACAGGTTTAAAATGTGGAACCTGCTTAAACAGGAATGGACGCCAGCACTTAAACCATTCCAGTAAGCACTCACACATTTGTAAGGCTTCAAGGAAATTATCCGAGAAGCACTATAGTCTTATTACTGTGCACCAACACCAAATACACATTCAAAATCACCTCATAAAAATGTCCACTTGAACATCCAAGAGGGAACTTTTTTTGAAATGGATATTCCAGCTGAACATGCATCTTGAAAAATATTCGGCTGTCCACTTCAGATTGCAAAGATGTGAGCTTCTGTATGTACTTACACACCCTTTTTAGTGTTAGTTGATGATGTCTACTGTGACTGAGACGTTTAGACGGTACATGTATCATAACTTTAGACATGATATTAGGAGCTGCATGCACTAATGTCCTTGGTCAAATGTTTCCAAGGGTTTAATCTGTTTGTTTAGAGGTGTAATATAAATGATTTCCAGAAGGGATCGAGGTAATTATGTGATCATTTTATAAGAATGAGCATCAGCTTTACTGTAAAAGTATTTGTTGTTTGAAAGCAGCGATCTAAATGAATTTAACAGAACAAATTTCAACAATTTCATTTTATTTTCCATGGAAACAAAATTGTACTTTTGCAGAGACCTGTTTTTGAAAGCAGATTATAAAACTATATAAAAAAAAAAAAGCACAAGCCATAAAATGTATTGCTGATGTTTTTTTATAAATAGAACTGATTTAAAAAAAAAAAAAAAAAAGTCTTACAACCACAAATCCAATGGAGTTAAAAATAGCTGCTGATGTTATTTTCATTGAAGGTCTTTTTCACTTTTGTGGTTTATTAAAAAATATTTAATTCATTCCCCCCACTTCCCTTTATTATTCTTACTTCTATCCAAGCTTCTTTTGCAATGTCCAACGGATATTCCTGTTTCAATGGTGTCCTGTCACCACGGTCGCGTGCTGCGATACTCTTGCTTCTGCCGGACCCATTGCGCCGTACAGCGGCTCTCCCCAACCGTCCAAGACCATCCGCCACTCGAGATCTCGGCCGCTCCACCTTTCCTCCGGTCCTGTTCTCTGTTGTGTGACACTTTGGCCTTCAGGTCGCTGCATCGCTCTCCATTGCTCACAGATGCTATGGAGGCCTGCTCCTGAAGATGATCTTTAATGGGGGCAGCAGGTGTAGGAAGGGCGACAACCTGGCCTTTAAGATGCGTTCTGGAAAAGAAGATGAAAATCAAAAGTTGGAGAGCAAGAAAAAGGAAACTCGGCAGTAGAGATGATTTCAGGACAATGAAATACTAGGTCAGGGCTGAGGAGCAAGTGAAATTTGTATCAAAAATGAATGTATGAGAAATGAAACTATTCCATTTCCACACATACTCCATTTCCTATCACTGAGTCATAACTAGGCCCACACAGAACACACTTCCCCACACATTTTCTGCACTGAATGTAAATGAAAATTTGTAAAATGCCACACTTCAGATACAATACACACGGTAGACTGATCTGAGAGTACTAGACTCTTTGTGGCAGGTGATAGCATTATCATATTTGACAAAAATGAATAATTGAACACACCATTTTTTACATTTTCTGAAGAAAATATGAATAGTTTGCCTTGGCAAAACTTACTGCCACAATCCCTTCTTCAATGCAATAGAATTTTTCACCCTTTTTTTGTTCATCCACCAAGCAAAAAACAAAGCAAAAAAACTGACGTTTATTGCAAACAAAATCTATACAAAAAAAGAAAAAAGTATATATAGCTATAAATAGCTTGAGAAACTGTTAAAACATAAAATAATTGTGAAAATAGCACGTTTATGGAAATAATACATGTGCAAACTAAAAGTATTGTTTTTCAACAGTTAACTAATACATTAAAATGTATAATAGTTTAGAGTTTATATTAAATGCACTTGAGGCTACCACTTGTACTTTATATGTAATTTCATAATTATGTCTTTGAAAAAATGAATGGCAATGGAAGATGATTTCGATATATCTAAATATGTTTAGTGAAAGGTAAAACTTCCGAAATCTCCGTCCCTGTGTCTGAAACCGCTCACTCGTTCACTCATTCACTAATCCCTATATAGTGTATGGCATTTGAGTGCACTATATCTGCAAGGAGTGAAGGAGATGAAGTGAGTGAATTCGGACGCTGACGTTTACACTGTGCGTCGGAGAGTTGGAGCTGTCGCAGAAAAGGCTTCGTCACGCATACTGATAAAACTCCTTTTATCTTACATTACCTACTTTATAAAATAATATTAACAACAATAACAATCATAATGACTTTATTTTGTAATTATACCTCCGTGCCAGCTTTGTAGTTTCATCGACTGAAATTGTACATTAACTCTCACGTTCACAGATGACGTGTCGTCGAGCGCCCTCCGGCGACCGTTATTATGTTCAAAACGACGATTAACGGACATTTTTCAAATCCTCCACTGGATGTAATGTAATCTCTGGTTTAAACTTGCTCGCGCCGAACTTTCATGCGCGCTCAGTTCTCTCCGCATTGGATTGTGGGAAATAGGGCTTCAGCGAGTGTACATCGAATGTACACTCGAATTCAGAGAGGATTGTGGGTAAAAGTAGTGAATGAATGTAGGGAATGATGTCGTTCACTCAGAATTCGGACACCACTACAAAATGGCCGACACCCGATATAGTGCACTATTTAGTGGATAGGGAGCGATTTCAGACACAGCTCGTGTGAACAATGCGTGAGGTAGACGGACGCGCGAGAGATCACTTCCGGCGTAAAGTCTGGAGACGGTTCAGTTTGGTTCGGTTCAGTTGGACATCAGATCATTTCGACGACTGTTAGAGGTAAAAAAAAAAACTATGTAAATACTGTTCGTTTTCTCACACAAACCGCTTGTTTCGTGTCTTAGGCCAGGTGTACTTACATTCACGAGTCATTAAATCATGTTTAATTTTGACTTCTCTGTGCATGCTCTTTGAGGTGGACCCAACTGCATTAAGATATGACTGACAGACAACACCGGTTTGACCAAAAAATGTCAAATTGAAAATGCTGTGGAAACAAAGACACCTACATCTTGGATGCCCTTGAGGTAAGTTAAGCTAAAACATATCAAAAATGAATTTCAAAGTGAACTATCCATTTAAGTGAGCATAATCCGTTTAATTATTATATTATCTGCAACTAACGTTACAGATTGATATATATATATATATATACTTTAAAGATTTTAAGTAAACTACAAGTGCACAATTAACTCAGGAACTTTTGTCCTCCAAAAAAAAAAAAAAAATCCATAAACAAGCATGCAAGTAAGAGACGATGCAGAAAATTTGAATACTCAGGGTTAAAGGTTTGTTCATCAAATCTTCAACCCATGTTTGAACTGTAATTACATTGATGTTTGGTTGAGCAAGCCTCAACAAACAAATTCAGCAGTGCTTTCAGTGGAAATCTGTAGGCGTTGATTCTGTGGAGGCCTAGTCATTACCTCTTTCTGAATCCCTGGTGTTTTCTTCAGTACTCGCTTCCAATTGCACATGTAAATAATACAGAGAGCAGCACCAGAAGAAACTGACTCTCACAAAGGTTATGTGAGAAAAGCCCGACCTTTCTGAAGTGTGTTTGTGTTCCACTGCATCTGCCTTTGCCCCTGAGTCACACACTCTCTCACAGAGCACTGCTTTCAGCCCTGAGGAAGCACACATGACAGCTACTAATGGTTTACTAGTGTGGTTTCCTGCGGACCATCGCAACTTTTCATGTTGCACCATGGTAAATGGTTGATTGCGGTTCAAATGGTGCATTACCTGGACGCTTTAGGCCGTTCTGCCGTTCCACCAATGATTGCTCGAGGTCTCGGCTGTTGAAATGGCGACTGTAGAGGTTGCTCCTGGCAACCAGACCTTTGTGGCTACGGGATATGAGGAAATGGACAAACAACGGCGATAGAGGTCCGAGGAGAATACAGAAAGTAGGGTAGGAGAGTGAAAACAGATAATAAATAAAAGAAAAAGAAACAAATGTGACACAAATAAAAACTTAATTAAACAAATGCAAACTTAAATTCAAAACTCAAGTATTGTATAAAAACAAATTCCAGTGAAAGAGGACACAGGCAATGATTGTGTAATGTGATGGCGGCTTTTATATATATATATATATATATATATATATATATATCTCAGAACAGACTAACAAATATGTTGCAACGTTAATGTTGCAAATTAGCATCAGATTTTGTTTTGGACTTCAGAGCTGCAGTCAAACGCAGTGGCTAGTATTGCTTAACTATTGTTCCTATAACTATTCACCACAGAATAAAAATAATTCTTTTTTAAAAAGTTTTTTTTTCTTTTTTCTAAGAATTGCAATCTTTTTTTCTCACGATTGCGAGTTTACATCTCGCAATTCAATTCAAGGGATATAAAGTCACAATTGCGAGTTATAATGTCACAATTGCAAGATATAAACTTGCAATTCTTAGAAAAAATTAAATCTTTTTTTTCATTTAGAATTGCACTTTATATCTCAAGAAAAGAAGTCTTGAAGTCGAGAATATAAACTTGCAATTGCGGGGGAAAAGTCAGAATATTACGTTTATTTCTCACAATTGCGATTTTAAATCTCGCTAATCTGACTTTACAATAGAATTACGACTTTGTACTAAGTATTACATTTTGCGTAAGGATAGCAGGACCAAACTTTTTCTGCATAAAAAAAATTAAAATAAAATCACTATTGCCATTTACAGTGCATTGAAGTAGGGCTGTCAAACGATTAATTGCGATTATGTAATTGCGATTATATATGCGATTATGCGACTGTGTATAATTATTTTATATATATATATAAATACACACACATGCATGTATATATTTAAGAAATATTTTCATGTATATACTGTATATAGATTTATTTGTAATTTATATTATTTGTAAATATGTAAATATTTTATATATAAATAATATTTTTTTCTCAAATATACATGCATGTGTGTGTATTTATATATATACAAAATAATTATACACAGTGCACCCACATATATTATGTAAACAGAAACTTGTCTTTTGGATGCGATTAATCGAACAAAGACGAACTAAGGTAAGACCTTAGTTCGTCTTCGGAACTCACGAAGATATTTTTGAATTGCATTTGAGAGGTGGATCACTGCTACATAGGCTGCCTAAGGGATCGAAACTTGACGGCCCAGAAAGTAAATGAAGAAAATGTTTAAATGTTCAAGAGATTTCCATACGCGAGAACTGAACTGAAGTAGTTGAAGGAGATCGCAATTCTCGCGCATGCGTCGTGGAAATCTCTTGAACTCTCGTCTCAGGCCTACAAGGAAAAAAAGGAATAGTCGAATAAAGTCGTTATTTTTGTTTGTTTTTTTTTCGCACAAAAAGTAGTCTCGTCGCTTGATAAAAGTATAGTTGAGCCACTGTTGTCACATGGAATATTTAAACATTTCTTCATTGACTTTCTGGGATGTCAAGTTTCGATCCCTTAGAAGCCTATGTAGCAGTCTCTCAAATTTAATAAAAAATATCTTCATTTGTGTTCCGAAGACGAACGAAGGTCTTACGGGGTTGGTACATTATGGGGGTGAGTAATTAATGACTTCATTTTCATTTTTGGGTGAACTAACCCTTTAATACCCCCTCGGAAACCCTTTGTAACTGTAAAAGACGTTACATGTCTTACTGACCCCAAACTTTTGAGCAGTAACATATATATATATATATATATATATATATATATATGTGTGTGTGTGTATATAATACACTGATAATGAACAACCACTGGTCAAGAGCAGCACCCTGAGGCCAAGACAAATGTCTGGTTTGAAACAAAAGTGAAACCAAGGTCCTGAGGAGCTTCATACCATTAATTGTAGAATCTAAAACATAACAAGTCAAATCCAACAATAATTTATTGACTGAATTGAATAAATGAGAATACCTATAATCGTTTCAACTGCTTTTATTATTTGCTACTCAGGACAGAGGATGTTTGACAGCTGAGGGTTAACACTAAACCGATCTCTAAAAACTTTATCTATATTCTAAAACACTCCTTAGAGTGAAGGGTACGGAAAAGACCAAAAGAGATTCCAGTTTAATTACAAATGTGTATTATCAAATCATTTTACAGGCAATCGTATTAATTATCCATACACTCACAACAAGGAAGAAAGCAAAATCATCCAATAGTAATTCACCCAACATTGAAAAATCTTTCATTACGTTTTCAAACCGTAGGCTTTGGAACACACAAATTATTCTAAAGAATCTTCACAGGTTTCTGCAAAATTCTCGTTTGAGTTCCACAGAAAACTGAACAAAAGTTAAAGTAAATAATGACAGGAGTTTCCATGTGTGGGTGAACTTTCCATTTAATTGAAACTAGCTAAGAAGTTTTAGACAATGACGTTCAAAACTGAGGGTCAATGAAAGCTGAGCCTAGATCTATTTAAAGAGCTAGCATGGTGTGTGAGAACGAGGAAAAGAGAGATAAAATGTGTTTAAAAAAAGAAAAGTTCAAAGTCATCAAATGAGGGGTTCAACAACACATGTCATAATTCAGGGAAGGCAATGTTTAAAATGAGCATGTCAAGGAAGAAGAGAAGAAAGAGACAGGAGGAGAGAAATGTTTAGCGCTTCTCCAAAAGAAAACAGTCAAGGCCGCTTACGTGTTAGAAGAGTAAACAGACAGTGTGTGTATCTGACCTTTATGCCACACACAGTGATACACTAATGATGCACTAATGAGCTGAATTAACATTCTTGCCGCTAAGTCGACCACAGGAAGTGGCTCATAGTGAACATTAACGGCCTCAGTGTCTCTTCGCTTTCATTCCCACAGAGCCAATGCTCTCATCCACCAAAATAAGCACCAGATGGAAAAAGCCAAGAGGATGCAATGTAAATATTTGCAAGGAAAAGTACTGGATTTAGACTCGAGTATGTCGTAACTGGCCGTGAGGTGTCGTTGAGATGTACCTGGTGCGTTTTGTCCTGCAGCTGTCGTTGAGTTGAGAGGAAGGGGTCTGACCCTGCAGGAGCCCCAGGGCCACGACGGGACGTTGGGGGGCCCGGCTGGGGGAGGATCCCACACTGAGCGAACGGGATTGCGGAGATGATGGAAGCAGCGGGGGAGAGTGGGGGGGACCCGCTGGGCGAACAAAAGGCCAGGGGAGAGCCCTCTGCTCCTCCCGTACCACTGTGGAACAAAGGAAGTGATGTCAGCAATAGGGATGGGAAATAGTAATTCGGGTTCTGATTCTTTTAGTGTCATTGGTTGAGGTATACTACACGCTGCTTTGTTTTTAATTCAATAAATATAACTGGCGCGTAAGAATCATTCATTCGGAAATCGGACTACACTGGTGAACGTTGTGTGTTTTGATTCATTAGAACTGACTCATTAGAATCATTTGTTCGGGTACCAGACTTCACTGAATGCACTGTATGTTTCTGATTCATAACTGGTGCATAAGAGTCATTCATTCAGCAATCGGACTACAATTGCATCCAAAATAAAAGTTTGAGTTTACATAATATAAGTGTGTTTACTTAATAAGAGTGTACTATAATTATTTTGTATATATAAATACACACACATGCATGTACATATTTAAGAAATATGTGCATGTACAGTATATATTTATATATAATTTAAATAATATATAAATATTTTATTTATAAATAAATGTTTTTTAAATATATATATATATATATGTGTGTGTATCTATATATTAGGGCTGTCAAGCGATTAATCGTGATTAATCGCATGCAAATTAAAAGTTTGTGTTTACATAATATATGTGGGTGCACTGTGAATAATTATTTTGTATGTGTATATATATATATATATATATAAATACACACACATGCATGTATATTTAAGAAAAAAATATTATTTATATGTAAAATATTTATATATAATATAAATTATATATAAACCTATATACATGAAAATATTTCTTAAATATATACAAGCATGTGTATGTATTTATATATAAAATAATCATACACAGTGCACCCACATATATTATGTAAACACAAACTTTTATTTTGGATGCGATTAATCAATTGACAGCCCTACTATATATACAAAATAATTATACACAGTACACACACGTATATTGAGTAAACAAACTTCTAATTTGGATGTGAATAATTGCAATAAATCATTTCACAACCCTACTACAACGATTGATCTATGTTTTGATTCACTAAAAATCATCACTCAATCACTCATAAGACTCATTCATTCTGGAATTAGATGACACTGGTTGTGCTATAAGTTTCTATATCACTAAAAAAGAACCGGGCCATTTGTTTAGTATTAGACTACAGGTATCGTTGCTGTCTATTCAATAGTGATACAACTAAAAAGTAGCACACAACGACTTTGTTCGCTTTAATGTGGACCGTTAACTCAACCAAAAGCCATTCAATTCTAGTATTTTAAAGAATGGCACCAGCTCTGAATAAGAACAGATTTTTGATATACCCAACTCTAGTATATTTGATTTACAAGTGACTGGATTTGTACATGGATTAAGATTCTCAACATAAACAAAATCAGTTTTCTAAAGTAATTGTGAGAGTCCTTTCCACTGCTGAAATTAACTTCTAAGGGCTCTAAAGTAACTTATAGACCAAATCAAGACATTCAATGAATAATAGGAGGCCTGTTTGCAGCTGAAACTATTTATTACAGCATCTGGATGATGTCAGTATTCAGCTAGTTGGTGTAAATGTCAGCTACTAGGAGTCTGGATGTGCCAACTGGTTAAATATACGACATGGAGCCTATGAGTAACCCACCTTCTCTTTCCATTAGTGAATATGGTTTGATCTCTCCCTCTGGCTTTTTGGGGGGAACTTTTCTCAATTGGACCGCTGTAAAAAGACCATGGTGGTCAGAAAGAGCCAACAGAAACAAACGGTGTGACTCAGAATAAGTCTGGAGTACAGCAGGCACACTCTACACTCTTCACAAGTATTCATCTAAATAAATATCCATGGCCATAAAGCATATATCGATTATCATTACGCTGCACTTTAGGGAAAACATATAGCACTTATCTAATTGAATTTTAAAGGGGAACAGCAACAGATATTGTAAGGAAGTGAGTTCATAAGCAATTAATGTGGGCAGACATTATGGGGATCTGGTTGAGTGCAAAGGAAGGGTATAGTGAGTAGACTCTTTCCTAAACCATGGGGATACAATAAGGGACTATTAAAAGTATGGTGGAAGCAGGGTGACAGTAGGGGAGGGGAACAGCAGAAATTCAATGTCCTTACAAAAATCCATACATCCCCTGATCCGTCAGAGGGGAGGAAGGTGTTCCTGGGAGAGTTTCATGAGACAAAAGTGCTTGAACAATGAATGTTTTAAGTTGCTTGCACATGTTAAACCTGATCTAGGGCGACTACCAACTATAAACAGCATGATCTGGGCTTGACAAGCCACTTATACACAATAAACATACTGAAAACGGTTGCCTAAACACGAAAATGCCATTTTACAGAAAACAAAATAACAGACTGTGGTTTAAATCAGGAAATAGACTTGCCTCGAATATAGATGCACTAAAAATATAAAACAATAAAACAACCAAAAGAGAATGCTAAAATGTCAATGTCAAAGGTTCACAATCACATTAAATATGCATTTTTAAAAGGAAATTGCAGTGCTTGCAAGGCAGCAAAGTAATACTGTTAAAGTTTTAGGTTCTGGGCTCTTTTTGTTTTGCAAAAAAATTCAATCTATAATCATCTACCAGGCCAGGCCGTTAATTATAAGGAACATGCCATGCAAGTGTATTTGTACGAAGGTCTATTCATCTAACCCTAAATGATGTCAGTGAACTCAGTGACTTGTTAACTAAAAAAAGAAAATAAATTGTTGATTTTCACCATATATATATATATATATAGACCATTTTGCTAGATGTAAACAACACTGGTCCAGAAACACTTCCTGTTTCAGTTTGTAACTGTTTTCTTTATTTCACATGTAAAGAAAACATCTTAAAGATGTTGTTTAACTTTTTGATTCAGTTTTACATGTTCTGTTGGTTGTATTTTATCCCAGCTTTTATGTAGTGTTAAAAAACTGAAACAGGAAGTGCTTCTGGACCAGTGTTGTTTACATCTTGCAAAAATAACCCCAAAGCCAACACACCGAAGAAAATTTTAATAAATAAATAGTCTTGACGCAGCTAGAGTTTATGAAGTTACAACTAGTGTTTTTTTTACCAATTTGCAGTGAATAACAACTAAATAATACCAGCATCATATGATGTTCCAGTTTTCCAGTTTTATTTATATATTATTAGATATTTATTTTAATGCAAGTAATTTTGATGTTTAGTAATTTTTGTTAGTTTTTAAAAATAATTCTACTTTGCTTTAGTTTACTATTATTATTATCCATTTTAGTTCGATTTTCAGTTAGTTGGCAGTGCTTTAGTGTAAGGGGTTTATCAAATATTATTAACATATATAACTGTTTTTTTTTTTAGTTAGCATTAAAAACACTTTTTAAAATAATGCAAAATATATTTTCATCCTCCAAAAAATATCTATGGCCGGTATTTACTCCCCACTGTCAGGTGTAGCAGCAAACAGTTAATACTAAAACAACTAAAACTCAAAAAAGCAATAGATTAATACCTAACTTAAAATGATCCATAAAACAAAGTTTGAATGGACTCTGTATGTTTGCAGTTCAGGCTAAATTACTTGTAGAAAAAAAAAGTAAAAAGAGGAGGAATTTCAATACAATGCTGCCTTGCACGTACTGTAATGAAGAGAAGGGGGGGTTGTTTTCCCTAGAGAACAAGTCACTGAACACTGGAACAGATCCAGAACAACATTCCAAACCCACATAGGCTCAAAACAGTTATTTATTCAGACATTACCTGATCTACTCTGGAAGAAGCCACCAAAAACCACAAAGTTATTCACCTGACAGGAGCAAGTTTGACAGGAGAAGAAATGAAGACATGTTAGACAAAGAGTTTCATTTTAAAAACCTTTGTATGAAGACTATTGTATGAAAACGCTCACGTCATGGACATAATCCATATCAAGGTTTATATCTATGCCATAACATGTAGTCTGATGAAGTTGGTTTCATTGACAGTATTATTAGGTTCAGTTATAAACTGGATTTCTGAAAGTGTCCCTTTTCCGGAATATTACTGGTTCAAAATCTCACTCCACATAATATCAAACATGCTCTGATTAGCTGTGACTAATATGTGTCATTCAGCAATTTCAGGTGACTCTTACCTGCGGAACGCTGTTTTTGAGATCAAAGTGCTTTTCTAGAAATGACAGGAATTTAGGCGAAGGTCTATCGTACGCCATCTGCTCAGGCTCCACCCGTTTGTGCTGTTGAATCAGAGAATATGATATCTGTGTCGCAAAAACCACTCGTTTCGTGTCTTAGGCCATCAGTGTGTACTTACATTTACGAGTCATTAAATCATGTTTAATTTTGACTTCTCTGTGCATGCTCTTTGAGGTGGTGACCATAGACCTGCATTATATGACTGACGGACAACAACGGTTTGAATGAAAAATTTTGGATGCTCTTGAGGTAAGCTAAAACATATCAAAAATGAATTTCAAAGTACTGACCTCGTAAATTCTGTCATCATTTACTTACTCTAAATGTAACCTATATGATTTTCTTTTTTGTGGTTGTAATAATCTACAAAAGTAGATATTAGGAAGAATGTACATGCTGCTCTGGTTTTCACACAAGATAAATAAACAGCATAAAAGCTGTCCATATGACTAATGTGATGCATTCCATATGTATTCTCTGAGAATTAAAATAATTTTCTGAGAAACACACCAAAATTTAAGTTATTTAAGTTTTTAACCAAAATCTTATCCACCATCTTAAATCTTATTTGTACTTCTGCTTATTCAACCTTGCCATGTAGCACTAACAACGTCGTTTTCGTCACTGACGTCAAAAAATGATTGGGCAAGTTTGAAGATGTACATGTGCAAAAGATATTTGACAGCTATGGTGAAGGAGGAATAAAGGATTGAAGTTAAGCCAGGATTTTACATTTAAGTAGCTTGCCTTAGAAAAAAAAACATTACTGCTGTGCATTTTGAGACAAAAAATAGCACTGACTTATTTTAAGGACAAGGGCAAGTTGCTTTCAGTTAAAACAGCTTAAACATGCATTTTAGTCTGAAACTAGGTTTAAGCCTTGTCTGTGAAACCAGGGATAGTGAATTAATTATATGGAACACTTTCATGATACTATAATGGTGCCTTTTGTTGCTTTGCACTTGTATGTTTTTGTTGTATGGAAAAGATAGTATGAACATTCTTTAAAAAAAAAATGTGTTTCATGCAAGACATAAAATGCCATGAGGAAATTATAAATAAACTAGTCTTTTAATAGATCAGACCGCTGACACTCACTTTCAGCATGAAGTCAAAGAGTTCAAGCCCGTAGCCATGTCTCTGCATGGTCTCTGTCACATAGAAATCCAGCACACACAATGGCTCGGTCTCCAAATGCGCCCCCCGTTGGTTCTGGAGGCAATTACAACATACAGTGTGTTGATGCATCTGCTTTAAAAAGTGTGCGCTCGGGCATCACGCATTAGGCGAGATTTAATTACAGAGTCAATAATGAGGGAAGACTTACAAGTAAAAAGAGCTTCTTGTAGCCAACCTTCAGAAATCCAACTACAACACCCCTTCCGCTGGGAAGTCAAAGATTGTTATTATCAGCAGAAGTGGATATTCACATGGAAAAACAGGAAGAAGAGAGGTCAGTTATATTGACATCTAAACAGATTAAATCTGAAGCATAGGGTGGGGGGGACAGAAATAGCAAGCATACCCGTTCTGTTCCCCATCTTTCAGGAGGTAGAGATGGTGTCTGTTGGTCTGGAGCTTTGCAGCACTGGTTATAGGTGCTGGCAGCTGCTGGGCCTGAGTTACACACACACACACAACATAATGACAGACTGAAACTGACAGTGAATGACATCTGCAAGCTCAAGAAGAGACAAAGGACACTCATTATCACCTTAGAGGAGGCTTTTCCCAGCTCATCTATAACTGTGGTGATTTGAAGAATAGGATCTGGTCTAGAGAACCAAAAGAAGAAGGTATGTTAGAATTCACACACAAAGAAAATGTGAATCAGCATTCATGATTCCATAATGGATGTGTGCCTGTTTACAATACACAAGTTTTTGGATTTCACGTTTTATTTGATCATATAGCAGTGTTATAATTTGACAGGTTTTTCAATAGCTGATTCTAATATCAAGGATATACACCTATAATTTAAAGTCAGCATGAAATGGAAATTGCGATAATCTCTTCTTTTCTATTGTGACGTGTTTCCGAGCGAATGGCTTCCCTAATAACCAGTAAACACGTCATCAGAGAAGAGAAGAGATGTTGCAAGTTGGAGGGGAAATATTTTAATTACAGATTATGAGCATACATGAATTTAATAATAATGAGGTGCATGGATAAAGAAAGATAAAGTCGACAATATTTTTATATTTAACAAGTAAATTTGGATGGGACACATTGCTTTTTTCTAAATAGCCGATATGCTATTGTTTTAATACAGTTATTAATCATGATCAGCTATTTGCTTGTTTGAACATGCTCATTCTAGACTTGAGTAATAGTTCTTTTATGTATTTGTTTATTTGATTATACCAGAGTAAGATATTAGGGCCTTTGAGTATTCTCTTGGACAAAGGAGGGCCTCGAGACAAAAATAAACTGTTTTCATCTGATTAGACTAGAATAAACAATTTGGTTTCATTGAAAATACATATATTTTTTTTACAATCTTTAACAGACAAGTAAGAATAAACAGTAGATTACCTTACAGTTAATACAGAAAGAAATAAAATTGTAAAAAAGAAATAAATGTAAACTCAGTATTGTTTAAATAAAATAATTTTTGGTTTTAAAAATTTAATTGCATTTAAAATATTTAATTCTATTTATTGTAATGTATACTGTAACATTGAGTGATGGTTAAGTACACACACAAATTCCTATATCTTAATTATTAATTAAGAATAATACTATCTTAATATTAAAAAGATTTTTTCCTTGAATTTATGGAAGTTATGAAGTTATGGAATTTGTTACACGTTTCCATCAGGAATGATCAGTTTGGTTTAAGATTTTTTTTTCTATTTTTTAAGTCAAGTTTTTAATATTATGTGTTATTTTTTATTATTATTATTTTAATGTGTTGTAGCATCTTGGATGGGCGAATTATAAATGGTAGTATCTATCTAGCTATACATCCATCCATGGCATTGTGTGATTATGATAATGTAATTATAGTGAAGTCTATGGCTGTCTTGCTGAATCAGTATTGTTCAGATTAAACCAATGTCAGATTTAAAAAGATTTGTTCTTAACTCAGGGCCGCATTTGCATCATCTGACGTCCAGCTCTCCAAACAGCAATCATTTTATCATTACATGAAAAAAAAGATGATAAAGATGACCTCGTAAAAGATTACATTTAGCCTAATAAAACACCCCAGACTGGTAGCAGTCTATAGTAATGCACAACTGTGTCAACCACTGTAACAAGACAAAAGCAGTGAATGTTGCACACCCACCAGCAGATTACATCCACCCTAGTTCACATTAAAACATACATTACCTGCTATGTGCTTTCCGACCTGCACTCAAGTTATTATCCAGCACTGCAATTCTCTCGGGAAAAAGCGCATTTATGTCGAAAGGGAAATCCATTGTAAGGACAGGTCTGAAATCTTAAAACAATACTCTACAAATGCTCTACTGCAGATTCAGATGCATTTATCACAGTGGCAATCGATTCTCAATGCATCACTGGCCAGCACTTAAAATACTAGTTCCACATTAGTGCCGCTTCAGTAGTAGGCTTGTTTAGATGCATAGATGTGTAGCGGTGTTATCAATGATTCCTCTGTCCTCCCATTGTTTGTGTCACTCCCTTCCGTTATGTTCTGAGCGAGATGATGAGCAGCTTGAGCGCCGTAGTCCTGTTAAAACACACGCCTGCAGGATTCAAGACGCCAAAATACCACAGAAGTCTACCAACATCTGTAATTATTTTAAAGGAGTGTAGTTGTAGTTCTGAAAATGTCAAAAAAATAAATTAATCTAGACACAATAACAAAAATCTGCGGCTTTAGAATATTTATTTCCGTTTCCTCTTGGCAACGGTGCACAACTTTGTGCTGCATAGCAACGATTGCAGCCAGAAGTCAAATGGCCATATAAACAATAAACATTACAATTCTTCTACCCTTTTATGTATAGTTTTTTTTCCTTTGTTTGCTATATTATCACCCTGCAAATATTCTTTGACAGATTTTTAATACAATTTTTTAGTGATTTCTGCTTTTTGTCTGGCTGTGCTTTTGATGGTGTGAAAATTGAACAGATCTCCCATATCTTTAAAATTTAATTGTGAAATTTAAAAAAGACGAAGAACAATAATATGAAATATGTATAAAGTTTCATGCACGAAAATGTGCTTACATTTTCACTCAGGCAGATATTTTGCTACCCTGCCTGCAGCATCATTAGGACCCTCTTAAATTTCTTTGCGTGGACGTTGCGCGATTCTTGTCGTTCTGCGGATGTTGGTTGCAGTCTAGTTGCAGTATTATTATTAGAGATATCGTTAGTGATAAACGGACTTTATTTTTTTGTGCTAAATACGAAAAACATGAGTTTAAATTCGTTGTGTAAGTTACGCCGACGGCCCGTGCGTGCGTTAACGCTAACCAAAGACCTGCAAAAAGATAGGCTCTTATGGCCTCGCCCTCGTGGTCGCAGATAGATAACGTTGTTTATAGTCCAGCTTTATCGAATATGACTTGAGAATATTATGTTCATCGTTTGTAAATGTTTACTAATCCTGAATATAGTCGTGTTAGAGTCGAGAACCAAATTACAAAGAAATGGACCGAAGTTGCAAGAATTTTGCTGTGAGTATGAGACATTTTCATTTTCTTTCAGGGGTTTTCAAACTGGAGTCCGTGGAAGAGTTCAGAAAAAGGCAATATAAAAATAATTAATAGTAATCACAGAAATTATAAAAATGTTATGAACTAAAATTAATAATTTAATCAATTGGTTAAAATTGAAAAGGTGAAAATAATTGGTCTTTTATACATAAAAATATAAATTTGGCTTTTAATTTTGTAGGATGTTCATATTTGGTGGTCCGTAAGTTAGCACTTAAAAGATTGAAAACCCCTGTTGTCCATTATTGCATGTAATGATGAATCATTTGACTAGAGTCTCTGAATTACCCATGAAGCTCTTTATAGTTCACTGAACATATGCAGTACAGCTTGTGATTGAGTAAAACTGACTTGGATTTTCCTAAATGTAAATGTATTTTTATTTTTTAGGTTGGGTGGAAACCGACATTGCCATGTTAGCTGATGTCAACCATTTACATCCAATGGGTAAGAAGTCATTATGCCAGTGAAAACCTCTAACAATTAGTCTTTCTTTTCAAAGGAAAGCAAAGCTTTCTTTTCGAAGGATAGTCCATTTATTGCATGTAATGATGAATCATTTGACTAGAGTCTCTGAATTACCCATGAAGCTCTTTATAGTTCACTGAACACATGCAGTAAAGCTTGAGATTGAGTAAAGGTGACTAGGATGTTCCTAAATGTCAATGTCAATTGCTTTCACAGGTTGCATGAGTGAAACAGATGTTGCCACCTAGCTGATGCAACCATTTACATTACATCCAATGGGTAAGAAATAGTTTGTCAATGCCAACCTTAACAAGTCTGTCTTTTCGAAGGAAAGCATATATTGCATGTAATGATGAATCATTTGACTAGAGTCTCTGAATTACCCATGAAGCTCTTTATAGTTTACTGAACACATGCAGTACAGCTTGTGATTGAATAAGAGTTACTTGGATTTTCCTAAATGTACTTTTTTTTAGGTTAGGTGGGAGAAACCGACATTGCCAGGTTAGCTGATGTCAACCGTTTACATCCAATGGGTAAGAAATAATTTATGCCAGTGAAAACCTCTAACAATTAGTCTTTCTTTTCAAAGGAAAGCTTATTGTTCATTATAGCATGTAATGATGAATCATTAGACTAGAGTCTCTGATTTACCCATGAAGCTCTTTATAGTTCACTGAACACATGCAATACAGCTTGAGATTGAGCAAAAGTGACTAGGATGTTCCTAAATATCAAAATTACTTTCACAGGTTGGATGAGTGAAACAGACGTTGCCACCTAGCTGATGCAACCATTTACATCCAATAGGTAAGACAGTTTGTCAATGAACACCTTTAACAATTAGTCTTTCTTTTCAAAGGAAAGCATATTGTACATTATTGCATGTAATGATGAATCATTAGACTAGAGTCTCTGAATTACCCATGAAGCTGTTTATAGTTCACTGAACACATGCAGTACAGCTTTGTGATTGAATGGAAGTGGCTTGAAATGTCCCTAAATATCCAAGTTATTTTTACAGGTTGTATCCCAAAAGGATGTTTCATGTCAACAGTAGACGACCAGTAAGAAAACTCATTTCTTATTCCCATGAGCCATGACTTTGCAAGTGTGGTCCATGATGAGCTCTAACATTTTTTTTTCTTCCATTTTTAAGGTTTTCAATGAAGGATTTGAAGCCAACGTAGACGTTAATGTCTTGAGTCCATGAATCTAAAAAGGTTGGTGTTATCCTAGCAGAGCTGATCTTTTGTTAGTGATGTGCAGTGATGATTCAATAGACTAGAGTCTCTGATGAAAACATGAAGCTCTTCACACATTTCTCTGAGCACAGCTTTGGATTATAAACGTGTATTTGTAATGAAGATCTCCTGATTGACTTTGGCTTTTTCTTTCAGGTTGATGTGGTGCCAGAATAATGTGCCAAAGATTGGTGAATGTGCCAACCCGTAAGTACTGGTCCAGTAAACCTATCTTTGGTTATAGCTTGTGTTAATGATGAGTGCGTAGTTCGGTTCCACTGAAAGTCAATGAAGTAACTTTCTCGCGGCGCACTGAAACACTGACAGATAACTGATGCACTTTTTATTGTTTTTGTAATCCTAATACATTTGTTTTCTTTAAAGGACAGGAGTTGGTCGTGGCAGAGGAGTTGTGGCCGGTCAGCGGGACAATGTCAAGCTTCTCTTGTATTGTGCATCAGTTGAAACTATTTTTTCATTATTGTTTTTTATTTTATTTTTAGTATCTGCTTGTTTTTCACTTTCCAATTCTTTGTAAACGGCGTTTTCTGAATTAATTTACTTTTACATTTAAAATAAAAAAAATTACAGCTTGATATTATGTTTTGGTATGTTTTTTTAGTTGCATGTCCATCTTTATACATCTAATTCTATGCCTCACCGTATTCATGTTGCTAGATCAAGGTTAAAAAATGGTTTAAAGGTAATTTGTATAGTAGCACTCATACCACACCCTACCCTATAGCAACACCTTGTAAATTTATATTAAGATAATTTTGCAATTGGCTTTATGCACAGCTTCACTACTTCCTGAATTTCAGTCAGCTCCTTGTTTCCTGTCTGCCATTATTGGCCAAATTGATTAATTCAGGTGTGCTTGACCTCAGTAGTCATGGCAACAATAATCAGACACACCTGAATTAATCAAATTGGCCAATAATGGCAGACAGGAAACAAGGAGCTGGCTGAAGTTCAGGAAGTAGTGCAGCTGGGCATAAAGCCAATTGGTCAAACCTTTCAAGTATGAATTTGGTTCTTTATGAAATATCTCTCCAGTCAGATTAAAAAATATATATATAATTTGAGATAATCAGTTTGTATAGCGACCTGAGATGTTTTGCCAAGGAGTCAAGCACATCACACTTGCTGTTTGATTGTATCACAAAGGACTTTTATTATGAAAACCGTTGTTTCTCTTGGTTGTGGCGTTCATCAAATTTGTCTCACTACGTTTGTTTGTTTTTTGCGACTAGTCTACTTTGTGACAAACGCGCACGCTCTAAAAAACTGTATACTTTAAGTTTATACGGACTGCCAAACATCTCCAAAGTAAAGGTCATTGGGTCAGTGATGACACTGTAACCGCTTTTGTTCTTCACGTTCTAATGCGTAATGACGCTATATTTTTGAACGAATCTTTTGAGTCGGATCTTTTCAATGAATCTTGAAACTCATTGTTTGACCTGAGAACAGTTTGAAAGAGACTGGTTAAATTCTTAAACTGAGAATGGTGGATGGATTTGTTTGTGCATACTTGTTACTATATGAAGTAAGTTGTATGATACGCCGGCTTCATATATAAATGCATTCGTCTTATTATATGAAGTAAAAGTAGAGTTATACTCCGGATTCGAAAAGGCATAATAATAGTACAATTCTCTTAAACCTTTCATGATACACTTTAAATAGTTGCCTCTCAGGGAAAAAGGCTTGGTTGTCGTTTTGAATAAAACCCTCTCCAAATTGCATAAATGTAATTGTAGTGGTATACTATTTATGACCTTGCATCAGATTCGTAACGAACAGCAATACATGCGAATATATGTGGTTTTATCGAGACGTTTTTTTTTTTTTCTGTCAAAAATCCAACGAGAATCACTCACTTTTTTGAGACATTTGAAAGAATCGATTCGCATGAATGAGTCAGTCACACTTCCCATAGTCAATTATTAAACCAGCTCGTGCACACTCAGCTTTTATTGCATTTCTTTTTTCGTTATCTCTGTCAAAAGCCTGGAAATCTTCTGGAATTACACCGGACTATATAATTTCCCATTCTTTCGTTTAATTATTATTTGAAACATTTATGTTTGTGCAGGGCGGTAGTGAACAGGAATGTGAAGCTGGCATCGATAAGTGATCTGAACTGTTTTTAGCAACTGAAGCAGAGCAGCGACTGTGATGTACTGAAGATGTAACTGTAATTTATTATTGTAGTTACATCAAACATGTGATTTCGGAGGTATGTCTGATTATCCAGTCAATAGCGTTTCGCCGTTCGACATCGACACAGTTTAGCGCTTAAAGTTTTGTTTAAAGAGTCGGTCTGCTTGTTCCGACCTATGGTTCCGACGCCGTTTCGCCCGAGGAAAAAACTTGTAACGTTAGAGCAAAAAAATGTATTAAACCCTCCTGCCACGGTGATGTATATTTTTTTGTTTTTATTATAATTTAATTAAAATTAATTTTTCTTCTTATCAGAGTAATTTTCAAGGGTGTGGCCCTAAGTTATGTTGTGGTTCATTTGCTCTAATACAATCACGCCTTAATACAGGTCGGTTGAGGTGTCGTTGTTTGATGCCTTGTACGTTACGTGTGGCATTGTACGACTTTACATGTTGTCTTTTAAAGGGGCACTAACCGTCGTTTTTTTATTTTGTAACTTTTAAGAGGTACATGTTCGCATTACTGCTTAATACTATAGTTGTTTTGCAATTTAAAAGTTAATTAACAATTCATTAAAAATATTAGCATTTTCACACATTGACACTTTATTTATGTAATAGTTTTTTTCTTTGTGCGTATTAAAGTAATAGTGCAGACATGACAGCAGTTGTAGGGCGAGTTTGGGGGTGGGTCAGTCCAGCAAATCTATACACGTCCTGGGGCAGTAAGACCAAACCAGAGAAACCAGTAACAATGGACAGTCAGATTGAAAGCAGATGGGGTTTATGGGGACTTACTGCTTGGGTTTGGAGGGGCAAGAACACCAAAAAGGACCAAAAGACACTCACTGAGGAATTCTGGGAGACCGAAGAGAGTTTTAAGCCATTGGAAGTAGAAGATCTTCGGGCGTTTGGGCCTGCTGTTGAGCCTGAGAAAGCAGCAGCCCAAAGCTCCTCACGCTGGTGGTGGAGAATGCTTCCATCCAGATACTCTTTTTGGCCCTGGTGGTCGACGTCCACCGGGCTACGTCAGCAGAAATGTGCCGGGTGGAATGAAGGTACATGGGACTGTGACGAAGTGGACGGGGAATCAGACTACGGGACACCCCCGCCATCCCCCACGCCACTGTCTCAGCAGCCATCAGCAGCATTCCGCTTCTTCTCTCGCTCGTGGACTGGGGAAATTGTGCCTGAGCACTACAACATTTGCTTTAATTTCCTCCGACACCTCTTTGATTTGTTCGTGGTGGGCTTCCTGAGTACAGTATCCCCTCCAACCAAGATCATTTTGGATGTGCTAGGGGTGCAGGGTGCCCTGAAGCTGTGGCTCCATGGGATGGCCATGTTTCTGGTGGCATCTGTCGGGATGGCCGGACTGCTGTGGGCGGTACAGGAGTACCTGATGATGTTTGCTTTGATCTATGGTATCGTGCAAGCCCTGGTCATCTCTGTGAGCGTACGGCAGAATGAGGCTTTGGCAGAGGGGGATGATGGGAAAGGTGATGATGAGGTCAAAGAGGGTGAGGAGGAACAGGACGACATATGGGAGCAGAATAAGCCACCGCAGACCACTGACGAAAGCAAAACTGGAGTTAAACAGAAGAGTTGAAGACTTAGGAAAAGTCAGGTAAAACTGGGTAAGTTGCCCATGGAGTCTGATGTTTTCTTGATTTGCTTTCCTTTTATCTAATTATGCATTTTACGAATCTATCCACTACTAATCACAAACCTGCAAGTATACTTCAAAATATAACTCAAATCTTGAGGCTTGTTAAGGAGAGCTGTGCTGTTACTCTCGAAACCAGGGATTCTAAAATATTATTGCCAGCCCAAAAACTTTTGCCTAAAATATTTACGTGTACTGCCTTTTTAATTTAATATTTAAAAAAACACATTTGCATGTTCACAGTTCTCTAACCTTGGTTAATTGTCTCGTGACATGCAGGTAAACAAATAAAAAATCAGTAAGCGTCATTTTGATTACTTTTATTTACATTTATTACTTTTTCTAAACATTCATTTGTAAACCATGTCGTAATTAGACCTATGTGATGACATCCTCCTGTCCTCAGACTTGGAATTATGCGCAACACTATCAATGGCAAAAACGAATCTGCAGTCGGACTCGTCAAGCTGTACAAGTCGCAGTTGCTCTTAGAAAAGTCTGAGTTTGCAAGTTGTAATTACGAGTTCTACGAGGACATTCACTTTTTTTACAAGTGGAAATTTTGTAATTACTGTAAATCCGGCATGGCGTGCACTTTTTCATCCCATATAATTCACCCTAGCAACCGCATCGCAATGTGCAAAAAGGACACTAGTAGTTGCTTGGCAAAACACTGGCAACAACCCACAACACCATGGATTGTAATTTTTCAACCACAGAAAAACAAGCTTGACATTTTCATAGAGCTGTGAACCAGCTTGCGGTTTTAAGTCTTACATCATTCTCGGCTGATATGATCTCTGGGGGAGGAGGACAATCTTTGAAAATGCATGATCCCAAACAAAGACTGTTTATGGGGGTGTAAATAAATTACTAGTTCTGTTATGAAACTTTAAATGGCAGGCTGATGGGTCCTTAACACAAGCTGATGATATTCAAAGCATTAACTACTTGGCACCAGCTGATTGGTTCATGTCGCACTTCCGATAGTTGATAGAAATTATAAATTGACATTGTCTTAAAAATAATAATTTGATTTTAAACTCTTTGAATTGATATGTTTTGACCTCTTTGGCTATAAGGGATAGTTCACCCAAAAAACGTCTCATCGTTGAATCGCCATCATGTTGTTTCAAACAATGGCTTTCTGTGCGACTTTCACACAAAAAGAAAATATAAATCCTGTTTAATCCAATTTTTTCTTTGCCATGCAATTGCAACAAATGTGTGTATGCAAAATCACCTTTCAAAAAGCATCAAGTATCATGAAAGTAGTCTTTATACAACTCATTTTATATATCTAAAGTATTCTGAAGTCATACTATAACTTTGCAACAGACAGACCAAAATTGAAATCCATATTCCCTCCAGCAAAGCTCAACATCAGGGTAAATTTATGGCAGGATTTTCAGTTTTCAATTTACGGTTCCTTTCAAGTTAAAGGAGTAGTTCACGTTAAAAAAAAACTTTTGCTGATAATTTACTCGCCCCCATGTCATCAGTCGAAAAGAAATTAAAGTCTCTGTAAAGGCAGTTCTACAAAAAAGTTCTAAACACATTATAAATGTTGCATATGTATTGCTAAAACATATTACAAAGACTGTGAACTGTGAAGTACTGAAATGTGGAGTTAGACCGTTAAACAGTTTTTCACCATTAGCAGTTTCACCTAATATCACCGTCGACAGCTTTCCCGCTAGTGGGTGTGGTTTCAGCAGAGCCAGCGGACACACGCCCCCAGCGTTTGAGAACAGAGATAACTGCTCATTTTTTCAAGATTTTGATAGCTTATTTTATGTACTTGCCAGCTTTTTTATCATTCAAATTTGGCTGGGTGGCTTAAAAACAAATTTTTCTGTGGTGTGACAAACTCAGAACACATACTTAATTTTGACTTTACAGGGACTTTAAGGTTTTTGATAAAAAACATTCCAGCATTTTTCTCCATATAATGGACTTTACTGGTAACCAAACGGTTCAAGGTCCAAAAGACAGTTTCAGTACAAACTGCAAACCGTTCAAAGGGCTTTAAACGATTCCAGACGATGAATAAGGGTCTTATCAAGCGAAACGATCGCTCATTTAAAAATAACAAAACAAAGCTAAAGTTTTATAAGCTCAAATGCTCGCCTTGCTCTGTTCTGTGATGCGCGTTCGTGACTCTCCTCTTCGAACTCGTTTATCAAAATGAACGAATCTTTTTTCGTGTCAACAAGCGAAATGAACGCATTGACTCGGGAAAAGATTTGTTCATTTTGATGAACGAGTTCGAACAGGGGAGATTCTCATATTGCATAATGCAACTGTCATTAATGTGTCTGTTTCTGCCACAGGTTGCTGAAATACTGATAGTCCAGTACCATGATCTCTCAATGAAGATTTAGCCACTTCAACACCGACCACCCACAACTTCCACCAACTTGAGAGCGATTGAACATCCTAAATATACCAGCGCATCTTCCTCTCCACCAATAGGTTTTTTCCCTCACTTTAAAATGTACTTTTAGTTTTCCCAAAAACAATTTTGACATAGCACACCAGCAGTAGACGTGAATGAGTAAAACACTAGAATCTACAGCCAGAGTGATAAACAACATCTGCCACAAGACAGGAAGTCATCTACAAACCCGAAGAACCAGCAATGATTGATTGTCAGGGAATTTCACTGAGACTTAAGGTGGAATATTGCATGATTCTGAAGGCTCATCCGGTGAATCGACTAGTTGTTTATTCCGAAACATTCGTTTTATTTTTAGATGGTGATCAACACCTTTACAACTGACATCTGCATGTGTCACTTTATTCGTAGCTCGATGTTGTCTCTGGACTGTTCATTTCTCTAATGTGCTCTTCCGTGTAATGGATTGAGATCTTTTATTCAGCCCATTAGTCCACTCACAGACAAGCTTGGTGAACTTTTTGAGCGCAATTGTAAAGGAAATGGATGCAAAATTTGAAAAGAATACCTTTTACATACAGCAAACCTGAACACTTTTCTTTTCATTCATTCGACCCGTTGGTAAAAAGACTTCCTTGCGTCATTAGATCCACTGTGCTTGACATATATTTATGTATGTTTCATCACAGCATTAACTGCACGTTTTGATTGATTTCAAATGTATTGTCGTTCTTATTTGCTTCATTTATGTGTCTGTTGATTATCATATCTTTTGTGCCTCACGATATCTGGTACTTTGGCCAGTTCACAGGGAATTATGGGTAATGATAGAAGTGATTTTGCACAGATGCATACTGAAAGCTTAATATATAATGCTTTGTTGCACAAACGTGACTCTCGCTTGTAAGAATAGCTTTCTCCTTCTGAATGTGTCCCAAAAATAGCATTTTATCTATGCATGATACTATAGAACAATGAAAACCTTTTGAAATGCTTTTCTTTTTTCTGTTCTTTATGGTACTGACTCATCAATTTCTTGGTTGTTCATGCCAGTTATTTAAGCATTGAAATGTTGCGCTAGATTTGTTGGTTCACTGCAATTTTGAGCAATGGAGGAATACTTTAAAATGTGTTTTTTATGTAAGTTTCGAGTCCATTAAAGTGCGGGCCACTGCTGAAACCAGGCGGCTGTGAATAGAAATGTCTGCTGTAGAGTGAAATGGATTACAGCTCAAGGATAGATGTATCTAGGTTGTGGGATCGAGAGATCTACATTTACAGCTTTTAAGTGCTGCACACTGAGTCTTTATTAGTCCTTACAGCTCAAATAAACTTCCCTTTCCCACATTTCATATCTGGAGTATGTCTATGATGACTTTCTTCAATAAACTGACACAGGTCGGTTTGTGTGAGAAAACAAACAGTATTTATCTCGATTTTACCTCTTGTAACCACAGCCACAAAGTACCCGCGCCCTCAGATTAGTCTACTTGCTGTGATAGGATCTATATAAAAACTGTTCGTTTTCTCACACAAACCGCTCGTTTCGTGTCTTAGGCCATTAATGTGTATTTACATGTATGAGTCATTGAATCATGTTTAATTTGGACTTCTCTGTGCATGCTCTTTGAGGTGGACCCCATAGACCTCCATTATATGACTGATAGACACCAACGGTTTGACCTTAAAATGTCAAAATTGAAAACTGTGGAAACAAAGACACCTACATCTTGGATGTCCTTGAGGTAAGCTAAAACATATCAAAAATTAATTTCAAAGTGAACTATCCCTTTAAAAACATTGATCCACAGCTCCATTCAATGCTGCTAATGTATATTAAAATTATGATTTGTCATTTTAAACATGCCTGTTTTTTACCAAAGCATCTGATATCTATTAATAATTGATTATAATATATATATATATATACACACACACACAAACATAATATTCTATAATAAGAATAGATTATCTATTAATAATCTGGTAACACTTTACAATAAGGTTCATTATTTAACATTAGTAAATGCATTAACTAACGATGAGCAATGCATTAGTTACAGTGTGTATTGATCTTTGTTAATGTTAGTTAATACAAATACAGCTGTTCATCGTGCGTTCATGTTAGTTCACAGTCCATTAACTAATGTTAACTAATACAACCTTTGATTTTAATAACGTATTAGTAAATGTTGGAATTAATATTAACTAAGATTAATAAATGCTGAAGATGTATTGTTGTACATGCTAACTAATGTATTTAACTAATGAACCTTATTGTAAAGTGTTACCAATAATCTATTAATGTCTTACATAAATGTACATGTACAACAAAATCAGGACGGGAGTCAAACAGTGACGACACATTCAGGTTGCCATTAAGCATTTAATAGATATAAAGAACATAACTTAACATCTGTTTATTCATGTTAAATCCACTCTATGACCTTTGCTATGTACATAAAGGTGTGTTCACAGTAAAGGGACGACAGATGCATGTGAATGCTGGGATACAGATGACTGATGCGATGGTCCTGATGGGAATCGACTGTAAACTGTATCTGACATCGGTGGAGAGATGATGCTATGTGCATTTTGTTCTTGGCCAGCATTCAGTCATGCACCTTCCCGTGCTCTTTATAACCACATATAATCAATCCTTAAAGCTCAAATCAAACTACTATACATCATGCAGACAGCATGCACCTCTCCCACTTTTAGCTGATGAATAAAAGCAGCCATCGTGAGGCACCTTCTCAATCACACACACCAAAACATTTTCCCCTGGGTTTCACATGAGAATAAAAAGGTTAATTGCCAAATCTATATCTATATTTCACCGCTGCTTTTTAATTGACTTCAGTATTGGGTAATGATCAAGGTCCCATTCTCACCTCACATTCAGAATGAATTTAAAAGTTTCTGTCCACTTTACTACGTTTTAAACACATTAATGTCTTTATATGTACATGCCGAGTTTCTTACTGGCCTGATTGTCTGAGGGGAGCCCGACTAAAACTCAATCAAACTTGTGAAAACTAATGGAGGTGATTTAATGTGCCCCTGTAATTATATTCAAAGGGTTGAGTTCCTGAAATCTGTCTTTATTTTTTAATTCACTATAGCACACAACACATTACGCTTGAATTTCCTCAAGTGATGTGAAGAAATACTGCTCCTAGAAATGTGACACAGCAAGATATAAAATGTATTTTTTATACTGCAAATTCGCACAGAGGTATAACCTTCCCGAATTACATAGATAGGTTTTTAATTAAAATATTGTTTGTGGACACATAACCGGTAAGATCAAGTGGTTAAACACAAACAAATAACTATAGATTTCACAAAAAGAAATAAAAACCAATGTCATATGTACAACAAATTTCCCGCAGCATTCAGATCACAAAAAAGGTTTAGTCTTCCCCAAGTCATCACACTAATGACCACGAGGAAAACCAATCACATTGCATTGCTCTACAAGCTTTCATTCATCAAAAAGCTTTTGACACCCAATGATGGCGTGATGTAATTCAGTGTGAGTGAGGATGAGGGATTATGAATGTAGTGCCGCCCGTTACCCTTCCCTTCATGCCGACTCTCCCACTAACTTCTAGCGAGGGTTTGTTCCCCCAGAACTAGGTGGCGCTGTGGTCCCACCACCCTCCCTGTGTTCATTGTCTCTTCTCCCATGTCCCAGAACACAATGCGCACTTCCGCAGCCTTCCTCGTCATCTCCATCACTTTCCGAGGAAGACTCACCGAACTGTCTTGGCTTCTCGTAAATACAGCAACCTGGACATATCAAAGTGGTTTTAGAAGAAAGTGACAGAAAAAAGACAAATCAGCTGAGGACGTTCTATTTTAAGAAATGAAACATTCGATCCGCCGCTTTAAACAGATGCAGGTCGTTCTAAACCCAATTTTTAAGGTCAGCTATTTTAAAGCAGACTTGAAATGACCCAGATCTGCCTGTCCTACACCAATTACTAAACAGATTTTTATGTTTTACAAGAAATTCTCAATAGATAAACAGACTGAATGATCATCCATTATTCAGACCACCAGATCTGTGACTCACACTTTGAAGACCTCCGGCCCAGATGTTCATTGTCCACCGTGTCACTGGACCACTCCACTTTCTTTTCTGTCTTCCTTTTCCTGAGCTTGATGGTCAAGCTTCTTCCCTCCTGAAACAATCATATGGAGATTGTTAGGGCACGTTTACATGACAATGTTGTCAAAATGATCCCTGCTCCCATCATGGATCCGCGAAAACTATTAAAAATGCTGTATGGCACAGCCATTATACTACCAATGAGACACTATTATAGTTTTTATTAATATTTTGAATTTTAATTGCATAAATATTTTATATACTTTTCATTATCATTTTAAAGTTGTAGTAATTTTCTTATGCGTTTTGTCCTATATATTAGTTTTTATTCATTATTTCAGTTTTATTTATTTTTTGTATGAGAAATGTTGGCACGTTTATTTAAAATGTATTACAGTAACGTTTATTGTTTGTTTGTTTTATAATCGGTGCTATTCCCAGGACTTTTTGAGTAATTTCACAATTTTTCTGTATTTTTTGAAGCCAGTAACTTGTAGTTGTTGTAACTAATGCTAAACTGAAAAAGGCGTATAAGTTACCATGGTAACTACCGTTTTCAGGTGTATTTGTGCTGCGATTGGGATTATTTTAAGATCATAACACACACTGCCAAACCAGTTGAGCACATAAACCCTTCTGAACATGTTGATTACTAAACACTAAACAGGCCTTGATATCTAGCTAGTCTACATGCTAACTAAAAAACGATTAACTTAGTTAATTACAAGAGGTCTCAGCTCTTGTAACTGAATTATTCCGAGCAAAGTGTGGTTAGTGATGGTGTCCACTTCAGTAAATAGGGCAGGATACCTGCTGCGGTGGAGGCGGTGTGCCCGTCTGAACCTGAACAGTCTCCGTTATCGTCTCACTCGTTGTAACGTTACGCTGGACCTCCGCCATAGCACTGATGAAACCAGAATAAACCTTCCCAGAGGCGTTCGATCGATGAAAGTCTGGCCTCAATTTAGAGAATATTAGAAAACAAATATTCAGTTGTTGGATGTTGTGTCAAAATGTCGAGCTAGTCGCTGTATGCATCTGAGATGAATGCATGAGATGAATTTGGACTAGTCTAATCACTCCTCGGAAGGACACATTTACGGACGGACCAGATTCTGGAAAAGTTGACTGTGTTTCAAAAAACTAGTGAGCTGACTACCTAGACTGAATTTGTGACATTATAAATGTTTTTTTAAATCAGCTCAGCTGATTTGTATATATAAATCGATGTTTACTCGAAACACATCAAAATGTTTACGATTTCAGAAAGAGCAACGCAATCTTGACGCATAGCAACGCTGTCTAGATAGACAGGTCTAGGCTTTTGAGACGCAACCGCTGAGTGTTCCTCTAAAAACTATCCGATAGGAAACAGCGGACGCTACAAGAACTTGTATATCGAGAAGGAAATATAATCCCCTCTAAATGAATTTTAACTGTTCGCAGCGTTTTGATTTTTCACTCATTTGTGTTTTTAAGTCATACCGAATTTAAAAACCTAAATATATCGTTGGAAAAAGTCAATGCCGTATCCGCAATATGTCTGCGCCCAGTGATAGCACACATCTAGTAAGGGTACATTCCTTTTTATCTGTCATTTTCAAAATGCTGTTTTCTCTTATGATACGATTACGTGTGAATTCTGTAAAGGATGCCTTTCACAAAGTTGCAGTACGCATTTATTAATAAAATTTTCATAAAGGCGATCTTTTATTGATTGCTTAAAGCACTATCAAGCACCTTTGATCCTGCATGTTTGTTTCATGTATTTTTTTGTACGGTACTGAATACTGTAACGTTACATGGCAAAAAATACCATGGTGTCATGTCTAAAAAAATGTTTTATTACTCAATAATTTAAATGTGATGCACAAATTACATAATTGTTAACAATTATTTAGTCTGTGTGTGTGTGTGTGTGGTCACATTTTGTTTACAAGACAAATTTTGTTTGTCTTTTTACACTAGTTCCATGCTTAAGCGCTCCAAATTTCAGGACATGTGGAGGTCTGTGCATGTGGTTTCACCCAGAATCTGGAGCAGAGATCTACAGAAAGCCTGGAGCACATGGGCTTGCGGACTCTGCTCTCAAACCCCATCCAACACGCAGCCTTCACATCATCCAAGGACACAAGCGGAGAAAGCCAAACGCAGACGAGCACGGGAGAAAGCCATACTCAGTAGTGTGGGTTATGCATAGTCAAAAAAGTGCACATTTCATATGGTTTAAAAACCATTCAAGCCTTCTAACCCTTTAACCCTTATAGGATGTGAATGGTGTTGAACTGAGCTGGTCTGATAAAGAGAAAATAACCTACAATGAAGCACTCTTACCTGGAAAGATGAAAGGTAACAGAATGCTTTTCCTTCTTCTCTTCATATTATTTCTTGTGTTATTGTGCATTGATGCTCTGTTTTTTCCACTGATGGGGTTTATGTTTGACTAATGCATTTACCGTATTATAGATGCCTGTGCTATCATCCCTATCTGTAACTCCCATGTCTTCCAAACATCCTCTCTTTTAGACACCACTCTGCCCTTCCCACAATCCTACAGCCCAGAATATGTGGAGTTTGGCTGGTATCAGTGGTGGGAGAAACAGGGATTCTTCAGTCCTGAGCAGCATGTAACGTGTTTATAGCTTTTTATGCATTATCATCTTCTTGAATAATCTGATAATCCAATTTGATAGTCTGAAGTCTAAACTATAAACAATTTGTCTAAAGTATGTCTGAAACTTTTTATTACCAGCACTTTTGCTTCTTTATTTTGAATAAATAGATTTATTTAAAATAATGATTTATTTATTTATTCAGCAAGGGCACATTAAATTTATCAAAAATTACAGCAACAACTTTTATAATATGATATATATATATATATATATATATATATATATATATATTCATTTAAAATAAATGTTGTTTTTTTACAAAGAATCTTGGCTGGGGGGGGAGTGCTTTTCACAAAAATATTAAGCAGCACAACTGTTTTCAACTATTATGAAATAACTATTATAATTAACAAATGTTTCTTGAGCAGTAAATCAGCATATTATAATGATTTCTGAAACACTGAGGACTAGAGTAATGATTCAGCTTTACCATCACAGAATTACATTTTAGAATATATTGAAATAGAAAAAATTGATTTTAAATTATACGAATATTTCACAAAATTACTGTTTTGACTGATTTGTTTTGAGCATAAGCTGTGCCGACTTTGTTCTTTTAGTAGAGGGGATGTATTATTGCACGTTACATGCTTTTTTGACATACTGTACATGTATTAGTGTTCTTGGTTTTTGCACATATTATAATGTTTTTAACCAAGTTTTTTTTGTGTGTGTGTCTTATTCTTCAGAGTAAACAGCCCCATTCAGTTGATAAATATTTCTCCTTATGTATTCCACCCCCAAATGTGACCGGCACTTTACATCTCGGACATGCACTGACAGTGGCTATTGAAGATGCTTTGGCTCGCTGGTACCATTTCAAGAACAGTAACATAACATACATCAATAATGTAGAAGATCTCTATAAATGGACACTTTGTCAGAGTCCAATATGTTATTATGTTTTAAATTCAGGCGACGAATGCAGGGCTACAAGGTGCTATGGGTTCCAGGCTGTGACCATGCTGGAATTGCAACACAGGTATCCCACCTCTACATCTGTTAATGATGCTGAGATTTTATTGTCTATGTGTATTAGCTGTTCAGAAAACTCTCTGATGTGTGTGTTAGTCTGTGGTGGAGAGGAAGCTGTTGAGGGAACAGGGGAAGTGCAGACAGGACTACAGTAGAGAGGAGTTCCTCAAACAGGTCTGGAGATGGAAAAATGAGTGAGTCTTTGTCTCTCCTTTTTTGTTGTCCTTCTTTTCTTTATATATCTATATGGAAGCTTGTTTCTACCACAAAATAAAAAATAAAACGGTTAATTGCGACTTTTGATCTCACAATTCCAAAGTTCCAATTAAAAGATCTCACAATTATGCGGGGAGAAAAATCAGAAGTGCAAGTTATTAACTCGCAATTGTGAGAGAAAAAAAGTCAGAATTGCACATTTATATCTCACAGTTTGCCAGATTGTGAGAAATAAAAGTAAAAAAAAAAAAATCCTGCAATTTCAGACTTTATTAGTCACAATTGCGAGTTAATATCTCACAATACTGAGAAAAAAGTCAGAATTCCAAGTTTATTTCTCACAGTTTGCAAGATTGTGGGAAATAAAGAAAAAACGTTGTGAAAAATAAACTAGCAGAGTATGCAATCACAGTATCATAAAGTCTGAATTGTATATATCAATTCTAAGTGTATATATCATAATTCTAAGGGAAAAAAACCAAGTCAGAGTTATAAATTCACAATTGCGAGAAAAAGTTAGAATTGCCGTTTTTTATCTCACAGTTTGCAAGAACGCGAGAAATAAAGTCCAAAACCTGATTCCTGCAAATTAACACTTTATAATTAGCAATTGCATATTTATATCTCACAGTTGTGAGAAATAACCTCAATAAATTGAGTATCATATTTTTCTCAGAATTTCAAGTTTATATCTCAAAATTCTGAGAAAAAAAGGCCAGAATTTTGAGTTGTTATCTCTCAACTGCAACAAAAGTAAAAATTGTGTTGCAATTACCACATTTTCTTTATATCCGATTCTATATATATCAGAGTCTTTCAGTGGTTCAGTTCAGGGTCTGTATATGGAACAATTGCAACTATTAAATTATCCATTTCCATACGGTAACTGTTTAGGGATGTCTTTTTTTAATTCAACTTTACAGTTTGGCCTTCTGTCTTTTCTTTTTATTTTAGAAAAGGGGATGAGATTTATCATCAGCTGAGAAAGCTAGGTGCATCTCTTGACTGGAGCAGAGCCTGTTTTACGATGGACCCGGTAATAAAACATTGGCTTTGTTACTGTATTCCTGCAGTAAATAATATAATTAATATATGTAAATAATATACTATACATTCAGTTCACACTTTTAATATTTTCTGATACTTAATTACATTTAATTGCATTTAAATGAAAATATATTATAAGTTACATTTATATTAAATACAATTAGCTGATCTTTATAGGGCTTTTTTTAGACCCAGTAAAATTGAACAGAAGTGCCCCATTGTTTGTAATATTATAACTACTTTGTCTTTAAAATGTGGTTAAATTGCGCCGAATACACTGACAATCATTCATGGTATATTAAAATATACTGTACTTCAATGTCATTTCTGTTGAAACTTGTAATATCACATTTGTTATGATTAAGCTGAATTGTAGTACATTTATAATATATTAACTTTAAATACAATATTGAATAATATTATAATAAAGTAATTTATATGTGCTTAAGTATGTAAATCAACAATAGATTATTAAAACTATTGATTTTAAATGTAATTAAAAGTATTACAAAGTCAATGTTGTAAGTGTGTACCATTTATTCCATTAATATAGTATCTGCAAGTACAGATTTGTTTAAAATATACAGTAACACTTTATTTTAATGTGACGTTGTTCTAGTAATAACAGTAAATTATGCATAATTACAAGTAACTAACCTTAAACGTAACTCAATTGTAATTACATGTACTTGATTTATATCGCCCAGTACTTATTTGAGTATAAAGTATGTAACCAAATATACTTTTAAGTTTTGACGTACACATTCAATACTCTTATTTTCTTGAGGGTTTTCATTGTGACGAATGAACCAGGTCTATTATCGACTGCAATCTCAGGACACATTTTGTCTACAAAATTGTATTAAATCTATATGTATATTGTCTCTATAGGGTTTCAGCAGTGCTGTGACTGAAGCTTTTGTCAGGTTGTGTGACTCTGGGCTCATCTATCGTTCCGAAGGTCTGGTCAACTGGAGCTGTGCGTTAGAGTCAGCCATCTCAGATATAGAGGTGCATCACTGGGCCAAACAATATCTGACAACACAAGCAATTCCACACATTTGTTGTAGACTAAGGCATGGTTTGATGTGTTAAGGTGGACTCAAAGGAGCTGTCTGGCAGGACTCTTCTGTCTGTTCCCGGCTATCAGCAGAAAGTGGAGTTTGGCATCATGGTTACATTTGCTTATCCTTTGGAGGGACAGGGTAAGTGGACATGTTTCAGTTTGCTCGATTTCTTGAGATTGTGTTTGACCCGTTTAGTTCTAAGGTGTGGTTTATTCATTTATTTTATTTAGAAAGAGAGGTTGCCGTTTCAACCACTCGTCCAGAGACGATGCTGGGAGACGTGGCCATTGCTGTTCATCCCGATGACCCTCGATATAAAGTAAAGTTATAATGGTTCTCAATGGATTTTCTTGTCAACTGTGCTTATGTTAT